TTTTACTATTTCGAAGATTTTTAATCATTTTGAACAACTAATAGGGGGACAAACTTCTGGGCACTCAATAAACACGTGAAATCTGGAAAACACGGTTATGACTACTTTTTAATAGCTTTTCGACGCTCAGACAGAAAATTAAAGAAGAGAGAAAATAATAGACAACTCGAAGTGAAGAGTTAAGAAAAAAGTCGGGAAAACGAAAGGAAAGAGAGAGAAATGGTGACACTAAGCGAGCAAGGGAAGGTCCAATAACATTTGAGTAGAGAGATTTAGGGGTAAGAGAGAGAGGAAAACATAGTATACGAGTGAAGAAGGTCGAAAGATGACCGAAAAATACCCAATATGGGCCAAAAAGAGTACCTAAATTGGTCGGAAAAAACTAAATTTAGGGCTCTGCGTCCATTGTCAAATTTTTGTTTACGGATTAGATCTGATACGGTGCACTTGAGTAGTTTCACGTACCACCTTGGTCTTTTCATGCCACATGTTCGACAATACGGTTTTGCGATATTGAGCTTTACTTTTATCGTATTGGTCGAAACGCTTAACGCGACATATCTGACATCAGGTGTTTCTCAAAATTAGCTTTGCATGCTTTAATCGTTCAACGGAGCTGGGACCACTTGCTTTTACTCTACCACGAATAAAGTGAAGTTTTTTTAACCTTTTGACCAAAGACTTGGTTCAATAATATTTGAAAGATTTTTGTGTTTCGCGTCTGGAAAGAAATTAATACCTAGGCGAGTTACTGATACATGAACTTAGGCTTCGCGTGTCGCTTCCCATGGATTATGTGTAACACCCGCACCTAGGACTATGAATTCTACCTCAAGTGTTAATCAAATTTAAGTATTTCACTGCTCTAAAATTTCTTTCATACATTGTGCGGTGAAATTACATATGGAACTCTATACTACCACGCCTTGGGAAAGTCTTCACCATGCCTGCCGCTTCCTCCTGCCTTGCCATCATGTGAACTGCCTGACTGGATCTCCAATCCTGTAAGCCTTGTAAGCAGGTGAGTATTGAATACTCAGTAAGACGGTCTACTCCGTCTCACAACCTAACATAACCTAACTACCCTTTACTACACTACCATCACATGATGCCTTGGCACTATGCATCCTACAACTTTTAGTAGCTAAGTAAGCACTTCCGGCTTCCCTTAGTTATCATCACCTCATACATAACTCATGAGCCCCTGGCTTCACTATTCAACACAAGCGAGTGGAATCGTATTCCTAAACCCACACTTGCCAGAACCTCTTTCACACCATATTATGCCCGTAGGCTGAACCTCATACCATTTTCTGTCCATAGGCTGAACCTTATTATCATATTCTACCCATAGGCTAAACCTTACATAGGCTCCCCGAGCCCTTACGGTCAGTACGTATCTAGTGAGTCTTCGTGCCATTCTCTCAGGCCAAACACAAACAAGTCGGCGACGAATGCCCATACAAACGCACCTATCCAATAATATAAAGGTGACACTGTGAACCTACTATCCTACCAATTTGTATGCCTAACTACTCTAGACTCACCTAAGGTTCACAATCATTATCTACTCCATGTTAACCTACTTTGTTATACTACGTTCTCAAGCAATTGTCGAAACATTTCAAACAATACCTTTGCCTCGTATGGTCGGTCCTAGGTAAGAACGGATATCCCATAACGTTACCCATGACAACATCTATTGTCATACGGCAGCCGTCCCTGTAGAAATACAAACATAAGATTATCCGTTAATTGTGGATAGCTAATGATACCAACTTGTATTATGGACAGCCCCAACCTTCACGTGTCTATCCTCTATCCCCTTGGTCGTATTCCATCTAGGTCGAGTTCGTCAAACCTCTGTGACTCTTCTCGTACCAGACCTCTCCTACGATCTTTTGTCGGTTTGGCTAAGGTAATACTAGTATAACCATTACGATTATCCTAATAGTTGTCCTGCCTAGTTCACAAAAATCCTTGCCGAACTGCCGAATCCTAAAAAATAAGCAAGCCATCAGGTAGAAATACTTTCGATGGAGCGGTAGCTCTACCATAACTCAATTTCATGGTTTACGGTTGGTTAGTCTGTCTACCTTTTAGCTTCCTGGACTAACTCCATGTTCAACCCATGGTACCTCCCTAGGTAGGGTTTATCTAAGCCAATGCCAGTCTTAATTCCTAAACAAACCTAACAATATGAGTGCGAGTTGATCTCCAACTGTGAGTCACCCATACAAACCACAACCTTCCTTCAACTCATCAAGCAACGAGTCAGTCTTGATCCTGCCTACGCCAGTCAAGCTTCCTCGAGGCTATGGTCGAATCCCACGCCTGGGAACACATAGCGTGTGTATCCTAATCCATAGCCCAATGTGAATGGCCTTAAGTATCCTGCCAAGATCCTCGATCTTGTCAAGCTCCTTGCCTGACTTCACCTACGAGTCAATAGTCGGATATACTCTGATCCAAACAGATGCTCTGTCACTGCACTGTTGGTCAAGTCTTCGCATGCTGGTCTGGTCTTGTGTCAATCCGGATCAAGGTTGCCTTGGTTCTACCAAGGTCATATCAATCCGCGGCACAACTTATGTCAGATTGTGTATGGAGTCCTACCGTGGCGCGGCACGATCTTTATTGAGATGCGGCACGAGACTCTAGTGATACGTCCTTACTGCCCGTATCCAGACTTCATCGATGTGTCTATCGATACACTCTCGAGGCACCACCGAAGCTCGTACTAATCGCTACCGTGGCTTTGTCGTGGAGTCACCGATCCCGTATCGATGCCCTGTCAAGACGCGGCACGATACTCCTATCGTGATCGTGCCGCGGCACGATGCCAATCTTGGCGTGGCCCGTAGCTTTTCGTGTTGTAGCACGAGGCCCGTACTGGTGCTCCGACAAGGCAGCATTGAGGCACCCCAAGGCCATGCCGATGTTCTATCATGATGCAACACTACTGTTTGGATCGAGACGCTATTGAGGCACCTTGAGGCCATGCCGATGCTCTATTTCCTTTACTGAGGCACAACGCCTATCAGTACCAGACGGGGTGCCTAACGAGATGCGGCACAACTCCTTCGTTGGCCGTATCGCACCCCCTCGCCGTCCATGAGACTCTACTCGTGCTCGACCGTAGTCGAGTGCAACGTGGCCACTGCCCTATTCTTATCGAGGCTGTGGTCCGGATCCCGTATCCAGATCGAGTTCCCTCGACCACTA